AATATACACAAAAACTATATTTTGAAGAATTTTTTATCTTGCAAGGAAGCTACATGAACTGATCTCTACCATTTAAACTCATAATTATTAGGTCAATAATATTCATCAAGATATCAGATTTGTATTAAATAGCCATTGACCAAAATTAAATTTATCAGAAAATATTGATCTAAAACTTTCAGACTATTTTACTGCATCATCTTTCTAGTGTTAATAAGAGTTCAAATGATGATTAATAAATTACGATAGTTTAGACATCCGTATCTATAGTTCGATCGTAGTAAACAAGAATAAATAGAATGAAATGAAAAAAAAAAATTCTTTCTAAGAGAAAAATTTCATCTTACCATTTGAATTGATGTTTTCCTTATTAGATGTACAAACAGAAGAACGATCTGTGGTTTCTGATAATAATGGTTCGACTTTCATCATGATTTCTGTTTTAACAAAAACAAAGAAAAGAAAGTTTTTTTTTAAAAAAAAGCAATTATTTAATTTAGTTTTTACCTGAACGATTTAATACAATTATTTGATTAATTTTTTCAAAAATATCTTCTAATTCATCCATTGAACTACTTGATACATCAAGAATTTTTTTTGCTTGTTCAATCAAATTTTGTTCACGTTCAATAGTTAATAATTTTTCTTCAACAATTACTTGTAATGTCTTGACAATTGTATTTAATTCCACACGAAGATTATCTGTTCGTCGTTTATTTTGTTTTGTTATTTCAACATGTCCATTCAAATGATATAAACAAACAAGACGTAAACAACAATGACATTCATATAATTCTTTAAGTTCATCATCACATGTTATATCAGTACATGAACCTATTTCGGGCATTTCTGAAAAATAAAATAAAAATGAGAATATTTTAATCTGCAGTATTCGCTGAGGAGATGATGGTTATCACTGTGGACGAAATCTGTACAATAGTTGACTGACTAAAAAAAATATACATAGAAAAGAAAAAGAAAAATGAGAGAGAAAAAAAAAAGAGAATCTAAAGAGCAATGCTGTCGTTCTTTATTTTATCGAATAAAATAGTTCGACTGCTAGCCAGCAAATATGGATGATTCATCATATGATTTCTCTAACGAAATTCACTGATAAAAGATCAAATTAAAGATTGTAGAATTTTAGTTTAGTCTGAAACAATTTTAAATAGATACGAGCTTTAATACAAATATGATACTATTTATGACTTTTTTTCTAAAAAATTTAATTGTATTTAATACCTTCGAAGAAGAATCAAATTTCGCTCTACTACATTGAAATATAAGAAAAGAATACGCGAGGAAAAAGAGCAGTGAAAGAGAAAAAGGAGAAAGCAAAAGAAGCGATGATGAATTTATGACCCATGAATGCTTTTTTTTTTTGGAATTATTTGTTAAATACCCATCGAAGAGTAAAAGTGTGAAAAGGATTAAATCTAGAAATATTACTCATTTAAGATCTCTTTTAACATCTTTCATGCTAGTATGAATTACATTAACACATTTCTATTAGTCAAAATTTATCAGAATCGACATAGGTTATACATAAAAAGTTATGAAATGATCTTTTATAAAATTTAACGAAAGATTTCCAGGGTTAAGATATTCAAATCAGTGATTTGTTTTTCGAAATAATGTAATTCATTTCTCAGTCAACTTATCATAACTTTAAAGACCCTTGATTGAACCTGAAAAAAACTCGTTATTTTTCCAGAATATCCGTTGTTTCATGAAAAGATCTAAATAAATGGTCGAATTTTATATGCAATTTCAAGCGATTTCTCCAAGCGTTCTGGTACTTTCTACTAGCAAGATGAGTCGCATGTAACATTCTTCCATAGCATTGGCGCTCTTGTTTACGTTCATTTATCTAGTACAGCAATTTTCCTAGAGAATTCAAATGAGTGTCATCATCAACTATGTTTTTCATGTACGAAAATGTTTCTTTCAAATACTAATCATCTTCACTTGTTAATAATACACGTGTCACTCATATTCGTTCCTTTTTATCTTTATCTACCTGTTAAATCCGAAACAATGAAAAAGTGAGTCGAGCTTAATCAAGAGAAACTCGAACGATATTTTAATCTACTGATACGTAAAAAAGAAGAACTTCAATAAACAATTAAAACCACATAAAAATGGTGGTATTATGGATTTTGATACTTGGGCAACAAATTTAGCATATGCAACAAAAAATTCACTTATCTAAAATAATTAAGTCAAAAAAAAAAGTTATTCTCTTTATTTTTCTGGTGATCGTGAGCCGGTACGTTGTATTGTGAGGTTGTGTAAATTAACTATCGTATGAAGTATTTTTCATCGTCTTCTTTTTCTTGAGAAACACTATAGAAAAAAGCTAACCACATATACATGAATAACATTGATACAAAGATGTACGATGATGACAATATTCAACAGTTGCTTTGCAGAAAAAGAACGGAATAACGACCAACATGAACAGATAATAATCGCATCAAGTAGATGTATAAGAAGTATTTTCAAGAAGTAGAAACAGTGACTGTTATTGGTAGAAAAAATATTGACAACTCATTGTTCAAATAAGGAAGACGTATTCAATAAAACTTTAGACAAGAAGAAACATAACAGCACATTTTCCTGTAGAACAAATATCCAAATTCTTGTTCGATACGAAAAATATTGATTATGTCACAATAAACTTTGTTACAACAATGTTTATTATAAAAAAAAATTATTATTCGCCCGAGACGATCAAAGAAAAAGTAAATCTTTTATATTATCTTAGATCAGATAAAAAAATATGTAAGAAATAAGAATAATCAACAATGTCCACTGGTCCAAACCTCACAGCCACACCTATACACTCACATCTTGTTGTATCTATCAGTGAAATATCTATGAATTATCGATTCAGAACTTCGGTCACATATCTTTATTCAAAAATACATTTATTTGATACCTTATCCTTCAGACCATAATCAATGACACAAATAATGTTTTCCCATTTATGCTGCATAATATCATCATATGCCAGAATATATTACTCGTGTATTATTCATGTTCTGTTCTCAGTATGTACTAACAACAGAATAACAATCGTCTTCTAATGTCATATTTGTAAGAAAATACAGTCTATTGAATTGAAGAATGATTTGGTTTATTTCTAGAAATCTGATCATACTTTGCGTTGGATTATCTTTATTTATCCCTATAAGATTTGTAAAGATAATTGTTGAAGTTTCTTACTTTGCGATAGAAGAAATCAAACAGAAATATTTTATCTGTATCCGATTTCTCAAAGACACATAACTACTATCGAAGAATTCAGGTGAAATGAATCATAGTAGTAACACAATGATCATAGCGAACCGCATTGCATTGCGTTAAATCAATTTGTGTTTATCTCATAAAATCCTTGATATTTAAGAATGAAAATCATAGTATAGATCAAGTGTTAAATAATGTACTTATAATAGAAATAGACGGCCAACCAATGATTTATAGACAGAATACATAGAAAAAAATGAAATACAAGATATTCAAGATTAAAAATTTAATTCAGGATATGTTCGGGTTCTATCTATTACAGCGTAGTTGATTTGCCATATTCCAGATGATATCATTGCATCGAAGATTTGAAAAAATTTCTTTTTCATATATCATAGATGACTTACCATGAACCATTAATGTCTAGTTGTTTTGAATCTATTTTGAGGTATTCATCAAAAAATCCAATATGTAGACTAAATGCTATTGTAGTCTTTTCTGATCCAGTAAATTCTTTCATCATGACTTTGTGATGAAAGAATTAATAGTAGTAAATTGTATAAGTTGTAGAACTTAAACTTCAAGATACAAACTAACGGCTATTTTCTTTTGTTTTGATCACTATTGATAAAATTAATATTTTTATGCAATTTTACTAAATTTTTCTCATAATGACTTCACTTGAAGCATTTTTACTAAAACTGTTGGTCGAACTCAAGAATGGTTCCTTCATTTGTTGTAGTTATGCTAAGGATGACTCTATTTATTACATATCAAGCCAAAATTAATCATACCCATTTGATAATAATCCAAAAGGAGTCCATCAATATTTCAAAAAAGCAAATAAAATGATCGTTCTATAAACTTTTTTCACATCTAACCTTTCATTAGACTTTCATTCTTTCAGCTAACTATTAATTCAAAAGTAGCTAGCGGATATTTTTCTAATCATATGAGAAAAAAGTCCGAAAATTTTAAAATAGACTCTCAATGAGATTAGACTCGGATGCCTAGACAAAACTATAGATAGAAATTTTGTAATCGTCACTCTGCTAACGTAAAGTTTTTGATTGATAGTTCTATTGAACAAAGGTCTCTAGTAATGATTTTTTTTCATGATATTTAGAGTAACTTAACATATATTTTAATTTTCACAAGCCATATCGACAACGAATGATTTTGCACATTTAAAACTCCAAAGAAAACAAAGATTTTAGTTTTTTTTTCTTTGAAAATATCATAGATTTCTGCCAAAAAAGTATATTTGCTAGAAGTATAGATATACTGTTTATTCTACGAGTGATAAACAAAATAATTCTTTTACGAAAAAGTTAATTTAAAAGAAAACACACCATACTTTTTTGTCTTTTATGTGAACGTCAAAACAACAACAAAAAAAAACGAGGTATTTATGAAATAAGTACAATCATTTTAAGTCGATCGTGGCGGAATAAGTGTTTTTTGTTTTTTTTTCTTTATTGAATAAAATGATGAAGCTTGCAGAGTGAAAAAAAAAGCAATTTAATTCGCGCATGCATTTGTATGTATTTTGTTAAAGATGCAACCTCAAGTTGAAAATCAGCGATCAATACAACGAGCCAATCTTATTAGCATAAATCGATCTGAATCATCACAAGTAAATACATAAACATTAGAATTAATAATCTGTTGTTTAGCTTGTTGATTTTCATGTTTATATAATACCAAAACGAATTTGGAAAAATTGTCAACCTTTAGCCGAAAATGAAGTAATGAAACACGTTATATCAGCAGGTTTTGTTCAGTAAGTAAATTGAATAAAATTTAAAATATTTATGTTAATGATTGCAATTTTATAGTGTTTCTGAAAGTTTAACTCTTGATGAACTTCGTCAATATATTATTGATATTTGTGGTGAAGAAAGTTATTTTCCAAAAAAATTTATTTATCTTCGAAGTGTTGGTCAGTTCTTAACTAAGGTTAAATATGATGAAGAAAAAGAATTCAAATTGATAAATTTTCGACCACCAACGGTTTGTAGATTATTAAATATTTAAACTCTATCATGAAGTTTCATTTTCTTTACTCATTTAAGTCTAAAAGTACTAATATGAGTAAAGAAATAAAGATCTATAAAGAAAAAAAATAGCTTAGTCTTAATTTCTTCCGAACGCGTACATTATATATGTATGTATTTTTCTTTTGTAGACAATGGCACCTGAAGTATGTTTTATTTTCTTTGTATCATTAAAATAAATAAAATCTTACAGATTTATATAGTTGAAGAACATTGTGATGATGATTCATCCATATCAAAACAGAGAATAGATTGTTTATTACGAGAATCATCAATAAGTGAGTCGTTAATTAGTTCACAAATTTGGATAAATCCAATAGATGGACCATCATTATTTTATCCATTATTTAATCATTATCAATTACCACAAATTCCTACAGTTACCTGTACACTTTCAAAGTAAATATTTGATGAAAAACAAAATAATGAAAACTTATTTTTCTTTCATAATCTAAAGACATTCGACGCATTTTAATAAACCCAAGACACCGTAAAGAATCTATTTATTGACCAATAACTAAAGGAAATATTTATTATTCTAGAAATTTATTAAAATTACATCAAGAACAAGAACGTCTTTATTTATATCAAAAAGAATTAGCTCGAAAACGTCGTGAAATAGAAAATCAACATAAAAAAGAAAAAACAGTTATTATAATTCGAACTGCTTCTCGAACTTATCGTTATCGACATTATACAAAACGACAACAATAGTAAGCTACTTCTTTCAATTTAAAGAGTGTAGGTGTAGGTGAGAATAGAGAGAGTAACCACACCTTTCTTAGCAATGTGGAATGTAGCAACTAATTAAAGAGATAAGAATTATTAAAGGAGTTCATGAGGTACATTCAAGTTCAAGTCGAAAGTCCTATAACAACCGCTGTTCATATACGATCAAAGATCACACATCAATAATATTCCCGTATGAAATATGAATTATCTTCTCATTGCATATCTAAAGAATTAAGCAAAATGATAACTAAAATACGTGTCCTAAAATAGAATCTTCCTATGATTGTACTAACAGCTTTTCATGCATTTGCTTATTTTAAATTCTATTTCCTTTATAGACACTCGTCACTAATTCGGTTCATTATACAATGACAACAGCTAAAATTTTGACAGATGATAACATATAAATCATTGTCGTTTTTTTTTTGAAGTTTTTTTTTTCGTTAAAAAAATATTAAAGAAAAATATATATTACTCATTGAGTTTGTTTTTGGGAATTTTTGAGTTTTAAAGCTGATACTATGAAAAATGAACGAAATTAAATTGTTGATATTATGCAGAATAAAGTAAAACAAATGGTGGTATATCAATTGATGATACAATATTTTGATTTCATAAATTATGTATATTAAAGTCGTCAAACTTTCAAATTGAAAGCAAAATGTATGAGATTATCTGAACTTCTCCAAATTGCATTATCTGTTCTAATCTCTGCGAAAAACTTAGATCTCAGAATTGATTTTCGAAAAAGTTCTAAGACCGATTTTCAATATGTGTTGATCGAACAAAGTTGTTCAATTGACGATTTGAAAGAACATCAAACGTTTTATAGAAACCATATGTTTCACTGAAATTTGTATTCAATCATAACAAACATGTGACAATGGATAAAGATTATTTATCGTTTGAATTCGATTCATTTTTGAAAGTTTGAATTAGAGTGACATTTATAAACACAAAGACGACTCATATTTAAGTTTTTCATTAAAGTTCAACTTCTTCTAATCAAAGTGAAAAGTGAAGGTTCTGAGTTTAGTGTTAAATATTGCTTTACTAGAAAAAAAGAAGAAAAATCCGGAATGAGTACCATACTTCATTCGAAATCGAATTAGCTATTTGTGAGCAGAATGAACTTAATATTCTTTATATTGATGACATGACATTTTTCCATATCGAATATCAATAGCATTTAAGTCGATTCTTTGAGTGAGAACACAAATTGAAATTATCTTTGTCTTTTCTTGAGAATTTAGTATGCAATACAAGAGTTTAGCTTGACAATTAAATAGAAATCCTATTGTCTATTAAATTCGAATTTATAGCTGTGAAAGAATTCTTTGAAGATGTGATGTGAGAGAAAAGAGAATCCACATCTACATCGTTCTAATATTCAATAATGTTAATGTCAAGTCAAAAAGCAACTTTATGGTATCATTGACATAGACCACATCAAATTGACAATTACACTCCGTTCTGATAATAAAATCGTTTTCGTTAAGGTATGCATCAGTCCCAGTTAATTGAGTGTTAAACCGAATGAGTACCCAAATCGACTGGATACCAGTTTACTTGAAACTGAGACTGATGCATACCTATTTCTGCTGTCAATCCATCAAATACAGCTTGTCATGGAAATGCTATTCGAAGCGATGGTATTATAAAAATAAAATATCCCAATTTCTATTTATAATTTAAATAAAATTTTGCTCATATAAACGACTCTTTGACATCGACACCAAGAAGGAGAAAAATGTCGGTTACTCATTTACGAAGTTAACGAAGATTCAGCTTAAGAATGTTTTGATCTATTAGTTTGCTTACGTCAGGAAATTCCAAAAAGCTGTCTGTATTCTATTTCAATAGGTTAGAGTATGACTTTAACATCAAAATATTCTTGAATCTTCACTCTAGTTTTTTTTGAGTACGAAATGATGAAATGTGCTAACTTCATCCTAGAACCTGTCAAAGCTTCGTTGTGAAATTATTAGATACGTAGAACTGTTTTTTTTTAATAGACTGAAAAATTCAGCCTAAGACAGTATTCGTGTCTTTGACAAATACTCGATTCGGTTTAAGTTTTTGTGAGTTTTAAATCTCATACAGCTAGTATTATACACTTATCTCAATGGAAAAAGTACAATTATACACTCATTTCAAATCGAAGTAGGGCGTTAGAATTCTTTAGAAGATCAATATAGAAACAATATTGATCACAATGTTGGAACAATTAAATTGTCTAGAGAAAGAACAAAATCTGAGCAATCAAAATTGAGATGGAAAAAAAAGCCAGCACCAACTTGCGTGTTTCTTCTCTTTTTCTTTCTTTCTAGCAGTTATTTCTGAGTACATGTCAAGGCAGAGAACGATGAAATTCTCATTTTTTTTCATCCTCGTCGGTTCAAGGAGAACAATCGTAGCTAGTCATATTTTATGACACGCGAGCCATAAGTGTATTGATGCTATTATTCGCTCACGGAAGCGTTTCTGGAACAAACGAGAAAGAAAGGAAAAAAAAAGAGAATAACATAGTTTTTCATCCTATAAAAGCACGTGTTTGACTTCAGATTACTATTCTTCACTGTCAACCATATTTTTTATTATTGCGCGTTTTTCTCATCGTTCGAACCATTATAATGGGCGGTGGCAGTTCGAAAAAACCTTTCAATGAATGGGATTTGATCCAGTTCAGCGATGTTACTGGTGAATATTGAGCTATTCTCTTTATCATTTTTCATAAGAAATTTTTTCGATGAACTTAGGTATTCCTCTATCGATGGTCGAAAAAATCTATAAAGATTTTCTTACCGTTACAGAAAACGATAACACAATGGACAAGAAAGAATTTCGCCGTTTATATAAGAAAATGTATGTAAATAGTCAATCCAGCAGTCTTCCCAGCGCTTTACCACCATTGTTCACTGAACACGAATTGAATAAGATGTCAGATCATGTATTTGAAACTTATGATTTTGATGGAACAGGTATAATCTTCATCGTGTTTCATCAAATTGTTTCATTAGTTTTTTTTTTGTAAAATTTAGGAAAGTTGACATTCGAGGGTAAATCAATGTTCAAATAGTGTCTTTCATGAGATATAATCTATATTTGCTTATTAATAGAATTTGCTGAAGCTTATCTGATGCTCACTCATTATCCAGGTATATCGACAAAAGGTATTACATTTCGTGATCGATTTAACTACATTTTGGATCAAGGCAATCCTACACCTGGTAAGAAAAAAATCTTTCTTTTCTTTTTGGATTGATTGTTATTCCTTATTGTATATACAGATTTCATCACACGTGAACAAGGTGAACGAATATTCAATCGTCTCAATAGATATAACAAGTCAGTGTTTCTAATTTTATTACTTCATTTTGATCTGTGTTTTATCAAATATGTTTCTCATTTCTTGTCCTAGATGGATAAATTCTAAAATCACAGCATCGACTGACTCGTCGAAGCCGGTGACTACTAACTGGGAATCTCATTGGAGCAAACTCGACGATGGTAGTGGTCGGTGAGTGTTTTTTTTTCTTTTTCTATTCTCATCGTTTTTCTTACTTCCTTTTCAGTGTATCGAGAGAGAAATTTGTCGACTATATTACTACTTTGAATGATTACAAACATCATTTTGACCCTGCCACGGTCTGAACTGAAACATACCATCGACAACTACAATCTAACAAACTTTTTTTTTTTTCTTATTTTTCATTCTATGTCATTTCGTCTCATATGTCACAGTGTATAGATTATTTTTAATCAAGCCTTAAATCCTTGTTTTCATTTCTCTTTCCGAGAGTGGTAATGTGGAAAAACTCGACACTTTTGATTTCAAACATTTGTATCTTTGCTATATCAATAAATGATGAATGTCTTCATTTTGCTACTTTATAACTGTTCATTTTTCTGGTTACGTTCACAGAAAAAGCATCGGAAAAATTCAATACTCTTATTTTGAACTTGGCGCTTGGTGCTCTCTCCATTTATGTGTGTAGTTACGTTTCTTGTCGGGTGTGGGCGTTTGGTAACCATGTTTACATAAAACTAGCCATGTAGTTATAGAGGATAGAACATCTTTCGAGATCCTATTTTCAGAATTTTTACTACTGGAAATCATTTTTTATTCGAATTTTTTAATTCGAGATTTTTTTCGAACTTTTTATAGCAATTCAGTATGGATGTGATTATGGATACTGCTGCGTTCCTTTATACTTTGTTGGCACACCACATCCCACACTCACACAAGGTTAATATCTTTCAAATAATTAAATTCTAATTCTTTTGCATGGTCAAACTCAGTTAAGGCAGGATGTGAATGTGGATAACAAGCAAATGCACATACACAGACTCATCCCCACACCCACACTCTACTGGTCTTCAAAACTACATTCTCAATATCTCTTCACCAGTGAAAACGGCAAAGCTAAGAAAAAAATAAAATTGGGTGTTGAAGCTTATGAAACATTCCTTTTTATGGTGAAGTTTTTATTATTTAGAATAGAGTATGAGTGTCAGTGTGGTTGTGAGTGCGTATGTAGATGAAGAGAACACTAAGACTCACACCCTTTCTACAGACACACCGAAATACTAGAAAATGCAAAACCTCGGTACATTTCATTGAAGAGAATGAAAATATTTTAATGATGATTAAATGCATGTATACATAGATTCATGACAGATATTTCTGCTTCTCGTTGTTAAATCAAGAGCAACAAAGAAAACCGAAATTCACAGTAAATATTCATGAACTGAATAATCGTATACTTTTCTAGGTTTCGAGAAGACAATTGACCGTACTTTGAAAATATATAGATCATCTACTACGATATTCTCTGCTAATAAAATTAGTTTGGATATTAGATTAAGGAAATCAATGAAGATAGAGAAGCATTAAAACGCAATAGAAATTAAAATATCCTAATAGCAAATGATGAATGCCAAAAAGTTAACTGAATACGTTTGACATGACGCTTTTTGCA